AGAGAGAGAGAGAGAGAGAGAGAGAGAGAGAGAGAGAGAGAGAGAGACTCGGGGGAATAGCCTCTTTCTCTCAAGAGGCTCCAAAGATCTTCCCCAGTGTCAAGAGGAACCGGCCAATTACCTCCTATAAGTCCCTCTGCTGTAATGGGAGACATTGAGTGCACATTAGTAGATCTAATGTAGTTAACGGTAATACCCATTTAGAGGACATGAATGTGGCTTGTGAGGACATCACAGCTGACTTTGATTTGCAAAAGAAAACATTTGTTAATAAAAAGGGCACTTCCGAGTGACTGGTTACAGTTGAGGGGGAAAGAGCAGCATCATGCATAATGGTCCCAGTTGAGGCCAACAACCACCAAGCCGCCTCAGGTGACTGTGGCCTCACTAGAGATGTCCCGGATATAAAGAGTTGCTATGGCACTGTGATGTTTGAGAGACCCGGCGTGCCGACAGCGCGCTCTCCCCGTCCACCGCCCGCTCTTTTCATCATGGTGTCGTCTGACCGCCCAATTGCAACGCCGTCAATCTAATCAGACGGCGTTCACATCCTGAAGATGACAACACGCTCTCACAACCCTGTCAATAATAATCCTATTCTTCCTCGGGTGTGCCAGGAGCCTTTGATTCTTTTTTTTTTTTTTTTTTTTTTTTTTTTAACACACAGTGGTCTTTTCAGTAACACGAAACTAGAGCAAGGTTTGTCACAAAGCAAGTCATCTGACCGAGCTTGGTGCTTCTGACTAATCGGGATATCCGGAGCTGTACGGAGGAGAGAACGTAGAAACGGAACAGGAGTAGAACGGTCATTCCACGAGGTCAAAAGAGAACATGACGCCGTCGTGTTACACGTCACGCCGGCATGAGTCAGTCCGCGACTCTTCTGTACAGAAGTGAGCTCGCTCACAATGGTTGCAATGGCAGCGGCACACACATAAAGATGGCCGTCGCTCTGACCTCGTTGATCTGAATTACATTTCTAGGTTCAAAGACCTCCTTTGTAACTTGGACACTTGAGCTTTCTCACTTCTCCTTTGGTGGAGGTGGTTGTGCTCAGGTTTCATACTCGTGGTTCCTTATCGTGCATTAGATCATTGCATAATAACATTGTACATGCAAGTGAGCTGAGTGACATAAGGGTTCAAAATGAATGAGAAACACTACTTGGTTTGTTTCAGGCAACACTAACTCTCTAATAAACCTCTCCTTTGTCTTTTCCAGGTGCTGGAGAATCAGGGAAAAGTACAATTGTCAAGCAGATGAAGTGAGTTCATTCTGCACACGGACCAATCAAAACACACCTTTTTCTTTTCTCCTTCATCTTCCAGTGTATCAACGATGTCTCGTCTCATCAGATATGCATAATGGCGCACACAGAGAGAGAGTATTAATTTTCCACAACACAAACGGTGTCAAACACCAATCATGCTTTTACAGCGCCTCAGTGGGTTACATCATCCTCTGTGAGTCGCATTACAAACAGGTACCGTGCATAGTAGAGTGTGACGACAACCCAGCAGAATACATTAGTGTAAACTCTGCCTATACATCATCCGCATGCAACCCTACTTATGAATTACAATTTTCATAAGCACCCCCGAGGATACACTCATCCATCAGCAAGCAAACACACGTCAGGTGCACTACATCTTTTACATTTATAAGCAGCTTTTCAGCTATGATATTGCTGAAAAGTTGTTGTTTTGTTTTGACTGATATGCACCGCTTTGACAACACTGTTCCAGTAGAAGTGTTATTTTACTCACAATGACTATGTCGTAAATCTGCTGAGAGATATTATGGCACAGTATCTGTCTGATTTAGGAAAATGATTTATACGTATTGTAGCGTGATACAGCTTAGCTGGTGAAAGCTGCCATGCTACAATGAAAGCATACGTCTGGTGATATTCTGTGTTTTTCTTATTGTCACCAGTTCCTATGAAAGTCATCATTCTGACATCTTTTTATTTTTAACAATCGGTCAATTAATTTAAGAAAGAATAGGCAGATTAATCCAGAATGAAAATAAGTGTGAGTTGCAGCCCAATAACACACACTCCTCTACTCCAAAGACCCACATTTTGTCCAAAACCACTTTGTGTTATACACACCATTGCATTTAGCATAATATATATAATTTATGTATATGTATAGTAAGAAGTAAAATAAACATTGCATTCCAAGATAATACCTTTACATTGTGCGCCTACAGCTCATGCTTTTATCCAGAGTCTTGGGCTTTTCCCCGGATGACCATAATTCAAGCTGCAAGACATGTGGTCGGGGATATTGTGGCCTGACGATATTTCTGCGAATGTTACAGCGAGCGTGAAAAGGCTTGAGTATTGAAAGAGATATTTAATAAGAGGAAAATACATCATTTCTCAGAAAGCTGAACAAGCAGCAGACATCATCTGTCCTGAGAAGAGGAGCTTTCTTCTCGGTTGCTGTGTGTTGCAAGCGGTTTGCAGAGCTGGAAAATGTCTCGGCTGCTGACCGTGTGGGTTTTTTTTTTTTTTTTTTTTCTTTTTGTTCTGCAGGATCATCCACGAGGCCGGCTACTCAGAAGAGGAATGTAAGCAGTACAAGGCTGTGGTCTACAGCAACACTATCCAGTCCATCATCGCCATCATCAGAGCCATGGGCCGCCTCAAGATCGACTTTGGCGATGCCGCAAGAGCTGTGAGTGACTGGGGGGGGGGGGGAGAGGAGTGTAATTTGGTGGGTTTAGAGTAGAAGGAAAACAAGCGAGTGCTAACAGTGAAGAGTCTTGTCAGCAGGAAAGAAGTCTTGAATGTAGTGAGAGGTATTTTCAGGTCAAGACGCCCGCTTGCACACAAGACGAGACAAAGAAGCGGGAGATCAGCAGCCGTCTCTAAAACGTCCTTCTAACCCCGTGACTGGCAGCTTGGTCGCAGGCTTCATGTCAATGATAATGGCGGTCCGGTGACTTCGGCGGCTGATTTCTGATATTGACTAATGCGCCTCCTCTCCTAGGACGATGCACGGCAGCTGTTTGTGCTGGCGGGCTCCGCAGAGGAAGGCTTCATGACGGGAGAGCTGGCCGGTGTCATTAAGCGGCTGTGGAAGGACGGAGGCGTTCATGCCTGCTTCAGCCGCTCCCGCGAATATCAGCTCAACGACTCGGCGGCATAGTGAGTCACAAACGCACACACACACAAACAACCGAAGGTAACAGTTCCACGGTTCCCTCAAGTCATGAGTCATCTGCTGAGAAGATTTATGACAAGAGTCACATCAGGTGACCAGACGCCCCCAAATTACCGGCAAGCGCACAGAAAGCTGCCGCCTCAACTTGCCAAACACAAGTTGTCTAAAGCCTTCCAACCAATGTGCAGAGAGCAGAGAGCTCGGGGCGCCATGCATCTGTCTGGACTTTCACTCTGTCAATATTTACCCTCCTCCACCAAGTCTGAAGAGAGCGGTGGTTAGAAAGACAACTTAGTCTTTGGCCTTCCACTTCAACACAGCAACACGAGTGAAACGCCTAAAAACAAGTGATCACGACAGACAAAATCTGCTCCTCTTCTTCTTTATTGTGCAAGAGCCCCTCGGCGTCGAAACAAATGATATCATCACAAGGCAGCTCCGGTGTTTTGTTAGGAGGGAAAAAAAACCATTTGCGTTGTTGTGCTGCTGCAGCAGAGCAAACATTACGTCGCAGGCCTCAGGCAGCTGCAGTCGTTTGGCCTCTTTCTAATTTGTTCCACTAATGCTGCTGTCCAGGGGCTTTTCATGAAGAGGAAACTCCATTGCTCAACATTGTGTGGTTTTTAACTTCACTTAATACCTTAGAAGATAAACAAAAGGCTTGTTTGAATGAAGGGGAGATTACTTGTGTTTGTCTGCTAACAACTAGAGGTCACTAATCTCTGACGTTCTACTGTAACGTATCCTTGAGATCTTCGCTGGGGTCGTAATACACCCAGAGTGGTTGTGGGTGTGACATCCAGCATATGTGGCAAACAAATATTATACAGATATTTGAACTCTGAGACCAGGCTCCAGTCTGGCAAGTTAGTCTGGAAATCCAAACGATGCGATATAAAAGTTGTAACATTTGTTCAGAACGCATTTTTAAAAACTGAAACGATTCACACTCGTTAAAAATGTTAATTAAAAAATAAATTTTCGTATGTCCTAATTTATCATAATGAAATATGAAACCCAGCGTGCCTCATCACTGGGAATGCGTTGGGAGTTGTCCTCCTTGTCTTCCTCACTCTCTTCTCTGTCTGATGTTTTTTTGTTTACCCTCCTCATGTCCTTTTCCTTGTGTCCTTCCCTCAGCTACTTGAACGATTTGGACAGGATATCCCAGGCCACCTACATCCCGACCCAGCAGGATGTCCTGAGGACTCGAGTCAAAACCACAGGCATCGTGGAGACGCACTTCACATTCAAGGACCTGCACTTCAAGTGAGAATTACTTCACTGCGACAACTCGCTTAGCCTCAAAGCGTTTTGTTTTGGTTTTTTTTACACGATGGCTTAATTAGCTTTCCTTCCTGTCACTGACTCATTCACCATAGAAATTCCCTTTGTGCACATACAGCTGTGTGTTGTGACACAAGCTGTGAAGGTTGTGCGCATTAGCGATGAGTCAGTTGTGGCCCTCGGTTTAAAAAAATTTTTTTTTTTAAACAGGAAGTGGAGGCAGCAGGCCTGATGATATCGTGACACCAGAAGTTTGGCAGCTAATTTCAGTGTCATTGAAACTGTTGTAGGAATTTCCCGCTCTGCTATTACACAATCAGTATATGCATTTGCTGCTCACTTGAGTATTAGCTGCGCTGCTAAGATTTTATGAAAATTGTTTTCGATTATCAACAACTTGCGTTTCCTTTCCCCCTCTATCACTCGCTGTCATCACTAAACACAAGAGCAGAGCAGCCACAGCGACTCGGCTGCATTTATTTTGGCGTTGGCGTTTCATAGACACTGCGTGTATTGTGCATGTTTGTAACACTGACGACATGTGTTACTCCTGTCCTCCCTCCAGAATGTTTGATGTCGGTGGTCAGCGGTCTGAGAGGAAGAAGTGGATCCATTGCTTCGAGGGTGTGACCGCCATCATCTTCTGCGTGGCCCTCAGTGACTATGACCTGGTGCTGGCTGAGGACGAGGAGATGGTGAGTGCTCCCAGCCTCTGACTCATGGAATAACATAATAGCAGGCACTCTGTGTTCGCACACAGCGTGAACTTTGCCTCTGTTTACCGGAACCAGAGCACAGTGATCGACAATGCGCTCCTTCTCCCCCCCCCCTCAGAACCGGATGCACGAGAGTATGAAGCTGTTCGACAGCATCTGCAACAACAAGTGGTTCACGGACACTTCCATCATCCTCTTCCTCAACAAGAAGGACCTGTTCGAGGAGAAGATCAAGAGGAGTCCTCTCACCATCTGCTACCCAGAATACGCTGGTGAGATTGGCAGCCTTTGACAGAAAAATGCTCTGAGAGTGGCCCATTTAGTCGTTTTAGTCGTTTTATTTGTAACAACACGAGAACCTGCAAATGACGAATGTTTTTAAAATGTGCTTATGGAGTTGAATTTGTGCGTTCTGCTATTGAAGAATGAGGGTATTTTTTTAATGAAAAGTATCATATTTGATAAGTTAAAAGGGAACACCGATACCGTCGTCATCTCTGTTTCTAAATATAATGCGTTACATTTAGGAGTGAACTTCTGTCTAACTGTTCCTGTCAGCATTTAGCTTTGATATGTAACAGTAGGTGACAAGAAATGCTCACACAGTTGCGTATTCCTCATTTTACAAAAGCAAGCGGGAATGCCCAGTTAGCAGGACGGAAGAACAACAAAATAACAATTTCCAAAAACCTCTTCCTGTTTTGTGTTCCCGGTCCTCGTCTTTCTCCAGGCTCCAACACGTACGAGGAAGCAGCTGCCTACATTCAGTGTCAGTTTGAGGACCTGAACAAGCGGAAGGACACCAAGGAGATTTACACCCACTTCACCTGCGCCACAGACACCAAGAATGTGCAGTTTGTCTTTGACGCCGTCACCGACGTCATCATCAAGAACAACCTGAAAGACTGCGGCCTCTTCTGAGGATAATGGCAAAGAAGATGACCTTTTTCTTTTTTCTTGGTAAGGAACTCCTCATCATCATCGTCCCTCCTTAATCTTAGCCAGCCTGTAGCTGACCGCAAAGATGCAGCGGAATCCATCACAATCAAATGCATAATTAAATAGCTGAAATCATTGCCTTCTTTCATCTGAGGCTTCAATACATTTCCTGCTCCATTTAGATGTTTGTGAAATGATAGTGGGGTGGAGCGCTCCCGAACTTCCCTGTGAAACGACTCGCACCCATCCATCCCGTCCATAATGTTTCTTCCTCTCTACTCTTCTCTCCTCAGGTGGTGGAGCCAGTTTATTGTGCATCTTTGGTGGGGAAGATGAGAAGAGTCGGGAGGACCAGTCACGGACCAGTGCTGTACTATACGCCACTTTTAACAGCTTTATTTATGTTTTTTTGTCTTGGGCGTCATTTGTGTAAGATGTTTGTATCATTGTAAAAGCAGCACCGCAAATTTTTCCGCACACTTTAAAAACAAAAGAAAAACAAAATTACTTTCTATTTAGTTTTTATTTTATACTTTTTGAGGAGGAGGTGGAGGAATTCATGTTTTTTGCTGTTCCTTCTGCCGCTGTCTCTGGAAAAAGGGAACTTTGTTGTTGGTGGAAACGCTTCTTTTCTTCCTTCCCTTCAACCAAAAAGGGAAGAAAAGGGGTCAAACTTCGAGTCCAGTCTGTTGGTACTTGTGCCTTCGCATGCCTTTTACTGCGGCCGTAGTCCCAATGCTTGTTCTGTTGCCTGCTGAATTGTTCTAAACATGAAGAGGTAAACTGCTTTCATATGTTAGTGTCCCTGCTATCTTCTATGTGCACACCACTGAGCTATCTGGAGGAGGAAGACTTCCCTCTGGTCTGAAGGTACATGGGTCTCAATGGCGACTAACGTGTAGCCTCCACAGTCCCCTACCCCCATCCCCCCCACCAGCCATCACAATGGAAGGCCTCTCTGGCCGATCACGCAGTACAATACTGATAATGTATATTGTTACATTTGCCCCGCAGATCTGGGGTTCTGGTTTTTAAACTGTACAAAATATCCATTCTTCCCAATCATTTGGAAAATGGTGAGTTTAGGCATTGAGCTCATAATACGCTCAAGTGTTTTAAGTACAAAGACCAGGGTAGGCACATTTTAATGTATATTTTAATGTATTCGGAGGCAAGATTTTGGTGTTGAGGAGAGAAAAAGTGAACCACAGAAGAGATGGTTGTGAAGGCGAGGATGAGGTCTGAAATGTTTTTTAGGTTCAGACACCGGTCCTGTGATTTGAGAGTGGAGGCGCTGCTCGAGGATCCATGAAGCCTTTCAGTCAGGTGATGGAAACTGAGACAGTCAAGCGAGCCTGGTCTGAGTTTAGATCAGTACTACTTTGCCAAGAGGAGTGACAAATAATGGTCCTGGATCTGTTCATATAAAGAAACTGCCACAATTGTCAATGTGTGTTTATGTTCCCCACGGATGGAGAACCTTTGTAGACTCATCTCTCTTATTTTGCTAATAAAAACCATTTACAAATCACGTGGCGTTGCTGTGTCATATGTGCGTCTTCAGCAGTTAATGGAGCATTTTTACACTAAGTGAAACTAAGTTACTGCTCTATTATATAGCTGCTAAAGCTCAAAGCAGGATAAATCCCTTTTAAATATGCTCAAAGACGGATTCTTCATTTCTATCATGGATCAAAAATGCAAAATCCCACTTCATTTGAAGATGCTTTTATCAGTAATAGGCTGTGCTTTGATGCTTCTGTTGTGTAGCTGGACAGTGTGCCTCTTCACATCTTCATGAATGGCTAGCTTGGCATACAGAGCAGGTACTATGATGCACACCGTACGCATTTCCCGTGAAGCGAGGTACCTTGTTATCACCAAGCGGGGAGTCCTTCAGACACAATTAAGAGACGATGTTGTCAGTTCTGCACACAACCTCCATCACATTTGTATTCCACTGTGGCCTTTAAGGCTGCGTCACCTGCAGTAGCACTTGATGGAAAGGTTTGTTTGGATGAAGAAAAAAAGGTTAACTTGCATGTACCGATATGGAAACCACCTTGATCTAATTTTCCTATTTGCTAATGGCTCCTGTCTCCCCTCATTCATGTGTCTTTCACTGTGTGTCACCATAACACAATTTGCATTGTAAATGTGTCGGGCCGTGACCTGTGAATAACATCAGTGTTGTCTTCCCTTTCTAACAATACCCCTTCAGAGGTATCCATCACCTCATGGAAAAATGGAAGAGACGATAGTATCGCAGAGCTGCACAGAAATGGACTATAATATATACCATGATGCACCCAGCTCACATAGATCGGCATTAGCAATTTCATTCATTTTGATCCACACCATCTCCTCAGGAAACATCTGGCTGCTTAGCTGCTAAATGCTCCACAATGTTCACAAGCTAACGCTAACTGCTAACTTTAAGCTTAGGTCAGCTGTGTCTAAAACAACCAAAATAGTTAAGTTGTAGCCCATAAATACCTAAATAATCTGTTAAAATATGCTATTGGGGCGGCAATACTCTGAGTTACATAACTTTAGCAAGTCCGCCACATTGTTCTCATTGGAATGTTGTCAATCTAAAAAAATGTATATAAAGTTTTTACAAAATTTTAAATTGGCAGAGGAATGGTAGCCTAAGCTAGCTGTTAGTTAGCCCCACGCTTAAATAAAGGCCAAACTCAGTCTATTGCTTATCTAAGTGTTACACATGGCACCATTGTAGTGAAGAATGTTTAAATTCAGCCGTCACTGTCGAAGCTGTGCGCTATTTTCACTAAGTAGACCGATGTGGACGCTAATTTAGCCCCAAATCAAAATTAAAGCAGCTTTAAAGCAACATTTACATATGCAACTTTGTATGTTGAATTGAGTGTTACTGCATATAAATCCAACCTGTATTTGTAAGAAGTACGTGTCGTTCCTCTCAACAGTTACGTAGTCTCGCTTCAAAGAAAAGTTTCAGACTTCTCCGTTTTAGAAAAATAAAGACAGTATGTGTGTTCAAACACCGCCTTTGCTTCTCTTGCCATGAGGGAATTCTCACATTTTAAGTGACTTCAGGTGCCCCGAGTACTTTTGCATGTCTGGGTTGTTTGCACACATGCATGCTGCTGATTTACATGTGTGCTGGCACACTCCTGTTAACCCTGGCACCCCCCAGGTTTGAGCTCCTGTAACAGCTTGACAGAAAGATGGCACAAGTCTGACAGGCGTAAATGAGAGAAAAGAGTGTGAGGCTAAAAAGGGGGGGGGGGGGGGGCCCAGGTCGGCAGAGTGGGGGGGGGGGGAGTGGGGGGGTGTGGGGGGGGGGGGGGGGGGGGAGCATATGCTGTATTAATAGCACCTTTTAAAGTTGAGAGAAAGAGAAGAAGACGGAGTAGTGTGAAAGCAACACGGGTGACACTGTTGAGGTTTCTCTCAGCAACAAACAGAGACCAAGGAGTGTTATGAAGTGTGTGTGTGTGTGTGTGTGTGTGTGTGTGTGTGTGTGTGTGTGTGTGAGGGAGGGAGAGGAGGAGGAGGGCATAAATAGAGGGAACAATGGAGGCATTGTTTTCAGTGTTGGTCCATCGCTGTGTTTACTGTCTGCTCTCCTCTCAGTCACTCTGGGGGCAGCAGTTATTTGGTAACAGAGATAAGACGGACTTATCAGCTCTGCAGCCATGTCGGACGGGATGCATTGTAACTCCAAAAGAGACACACACACACACACACACACACACACATTCAGTCTGTGCTGCACATTCTTCCACATGCTGGATATCTCGCAGCACAGTAGTACTACAGTAGTAGTCTATCTACTGAGCGATTCCTATTTTCTGCTGCTCAAGACCATGAAGTGGCCTCTCTCGTCCTAGTAATGTTTACAGTCGGCCTGTCTGAGATATGAAAGGGTCTGTTCACTAAAGTTAAACATATCGGCTCACACACCCCTAGCTAGTTCATTTCTAATATTCCGTGTCATGCCAGTTATTTGAAAATGACCACAGCTGAAGGACTAATGAGCTGAGAACATTGTGCATGTGCTCTGTGTAATCACCAATGAGAACTTAGTTGTGTACGGATGTTGTGTCATGACATGAACAACAAGAGCAGCCATTTTGAAAAAGCAAGTTCAGTCATTGTCATTAACCCAATTAGCTTTTTCTTTCTTTTTTCATTCATACGTGTGAGTGTGTGACAGATCGGCTGTGAGTGGGTTGGCGGGCGGGTAGAAGGCTGTGTGAGCTTGATCTGTGTACGTCTGTGTGCCGCGTACAGTGTGTGTGTTTGTCCCTGTGTTACGCGCAGGATGCAGTGTGTGTGTGTGTGTGTGCACGCTCCAGCTGGATGCCTGCTGCCTGTGCTTCTGCTCATCACTTCATATTTGCTGGCGGTGTTCATTCAGTGATTCCAGCTTTCATCTCCACACACACACACACAC